GAAAAGTGCCGAAGAGCTGAGTAAAAAGTGATATAAGTCCCAGTATTTAGATTGATTTCCTCGCTTTTAACATAAGAGCGATTTATTTCAGTTATTTTTATCAAGTACTTAATTAGAAGAACTCTCAGATTCTTTCATAAAATATAAGGGATCATAAAGTACTCACAAAGCCTTGTTATTCTGCTCTATTTTTTTTTTATCTTAATTGCCCTTTTTATTGATGTCGGCTCGCACACCAACAAGCAAAAATATTATCATTAAGTAAATAATTATAAGCAATCATTCAGTGTTTAAGCGCCATAAGTCAAAGCTTAAAATTTGAGACCGCTAAAAAAAAAAACAACGAAAATAATCAGTATGTTGAAGAATATAAATGAACGCGAGAAAACATTATGAAGTGAAGGCACAACTTTAGTATGTAGTAAATAGAGCGAGATGATGAGAGGCGGGTTAAAGGCAGTGGCACTTGAAGTGCAAGAAAATGCGTTGAAACTGAACAACAACTAAAATATTCCAACTCTCAATTTATTAGGCGCGCTTAGCTGAGTATCCAAGCATATTCACGCAACATGTGGCACAAGATTTGGCAGTAACAAGCCATTAGTAGATAAAAAGAAGAAAAAAATTAACTAAAGCTGCACTGAAACTATTATACCCTTCACAGCTGCATTCCTTATAGAAAAGAGGATATAAAAAGATCTTAAAATTAAATTTGATTGCTCATTTTATATGACAGCTATATGCTATAGTAGTCCGATCTAAGCGATATGTACGGAGATTGAAGCTTTGCCTTAGACAATAAATCGAACCAAATTTCGTAAAGATATCTCGTCATATGAAAAGGTTTTCCATATAAGGATTGGATTTTGAACGATCAGGCTGTAAGGCAATCCGATATCGGCGGTTCCAACAAATAAGCAGATTTTTGGGGAGAAAAGGTTGTATGTAAATTTTCAGCTCGGTCATATCTCAGAAATTGAGGGTCTAGTTGCTGTTCATTTATATACTATATACTTTATAGAGTCTGTAACCTCTCTTTTTGGGTGTTACAAACATCGTGTCAAACTTATATCCCTATTCAGGGTATAAAAACGACGCACGTTTATGGGGGTCATGCTGCGTAATGTAAAACATAAAAAATATTATTTGTTTTTGTAAAAAAAAATATTTTTTGTTTTTGTAAAAAAAAACAGAATTATTGTTTTTGTAAAAAAAAAACAGAATTATTGTTTTTGTACATTATAAATGAAATAAGAAAATCTGCTGGCCGTCAGCGGCCCACTTAATCAACATCTTCTCGGCCGGCTGGGGGGCCAAGGCAAACCCCATTACAAACAAACAAAATCATAAATACAAAATACATAAGTTAGTGAAAGACCGCAAGTAGCTGTGTGTGTGCGTGCAGCAGTGTGTGCGTGTGCATGTGTTAACGTACAAGCCCAAAAACTCATTTACACAACGCAATTACTTAATTATATGCTTATACACAAACAAACAAATAATTAGATAAATACATAAATAAATATAATTATTGCAATCACTCTTTCACACACTTACAAACAAACATATACCCACAAGTATAGTATTTGGCTGGTTTTTCAACTTTTCATCGTTCATTTGGCACCAACTCAGCCAACTGTTGTCCGCGCGTTACATTCAATTCACATACACAAACACAAAGTCTGTCTATTGGGTACAATTCCCAGCTGTATTGCATATTGATGAACACTGTGCATGACAGATTGCTGGTAATGAATTATATTTAATTATGAAAATCAATTTAGTATTTTTCGGTCGCTGTAAGACGTACTGCTTCCTCCTCTTTGCTGTCATTGCTGTTAGGCGGTATTCTTATGTGCCTTGGAGATTTATGTGGGAAGTGGGTCAGCGAGTTGGCAGATAATGCTTTTGTAATACTTAGGGAATATCAGCACTTTCTATTGGAATAATCATACAATAGAATTTGTGTATTGTTATTGTGTACCACGCTCATCTTAGAAACCATTTAAAAAGTGAAAATATTTTAATTTTGCTAAATTTATAAATTTTTTTTAAACTTTTCTTCTCAAACCCTCAGTAAAAAGAAATCCTATATTTTTACACCATCTAAAGGTATAGTATAGTTAGATTAATCCTATTAGGGTCAAATATGCAACCTTTCATTTGATAACTTGTTGGATTTTAAAGTAAAATTTCATAGTCTCACTCTTATAGAAACCCTCGTCGCTATTGCCAAAAACTGGGATTGTGAATTTTCAGAAGTTTCTTATGAGAGAATTTTTTCAGCAGAAAAATCATTAGCCATAGACAGGTGCAGGTAGCAATCATTTGGTGCCAAAATCGTACTATAAAGTGGATGCATAAGAACCTCCAAAGCTTCTTGCCAGTCACTTTCGATGTACCCGGCTTGGCGTTTTCCTGATGGAACACAATTCCTCTCCTATTGGCTTCGTTCCAATTGTTGATAGTAAAGGCCCGACTTAAGAGTTTGACCGTCAGGAAAAGCAGCTCATAGTAGATGATTCCCTACTAATAATTACCTGCTGTCTTAGCCACCGTTTTCGTCTGCTCATCGCGATTCCATCACGACCGTGTGCGCTTGACGTCTTATTTAGATGGTTCCAAATGGAATTTTGTGCATTGAAATTGTCAGATCTCCTTAGAGACTATTTCCAATTGATCTATCTATATGATTACCGTTACTAACAATGGCAGTGCGAGATAATTAAATCATTGTTCTAACACTTTAAGTATGGTAATTTGGATCAGGTCAGTAAATTTCAAATCCAATGATGATTTTTATAACTGAAACAATTCAAGCTACGTGATTCCAGGGCAAATCAATGAACCTCTTGCCGCTTGAAGGCCCGAAGCACTTTTGTATTAGTATTTACTTTAATGACTTTTAATTTGCTATAATGACTTAAAAAGAGGTGTACATTCACTCCCATAGCAGAGTCGCAATAGAGGTCTTGAGTGCGCTCAAAGCTAGTCAAGGAGTGTATGACTTAGTTAGCAATTTGTTTGGGTGCCTGGTCACAGTAAAATGGCTGGAAACTGAAAAGCCGAGTTTGAAAGAAAGAGCACCCTTACCCAAATCCCATCAGGATAGGAACGAGTCGAGCACAGGGGAGGGACCTCTTGTTTTCTAAGGCTTTTAGAGGGCGAAAATTGTCTAAATTGCATGGCGGAAGGTGAGGTGGAAATATTTAGACACTTTCTGCTCCACTACTTGGTTCTTTCTAAACTAAGATTGAAGCAGCTGCGTAGTCATATCTTCTACGGACTAGGCGAAATGGCTGGAATTAATATTAACCGTCTCAATAAATTTGTATCAGGTTCAAGGCGCTTTATCGATATAGGACGGTCATTTTTTCTACGTAATTAGAATTTCTAGACAACACAAGAGACTGGCGTTTCTAGCTGTCAAAATGGAGTTAGACATAGCTACACGAAGATCAACCTGATTACCCTATAACCACAGTCTCACACAAAGTCTTGTGTAGTGTAAATTTTAAAACTTCGGACAAGTGGTTCGTTAGATGTCGTGTTATGACTGTGGTATGCTTTGGTGCCTAGGACCAATTCTATGCATATGTATGTTAGTCAAAACCTCCGGTGGTTGAACAATGCTGTTGTTTTAATAAATAATAGGAATGAATGTTATGCGGGCTCTAAGGCAGGCAAAACAACCATTCGTAGGTGGTGTGAAAAGCAGCACAAAGGTCATTTGAGCAGCGAAGACTATAAATCTCGTTAAAATAAACGAAAACGTAAAAAAAGTTTCCTTTAATAATAAAACAAAATATTGTTTTTTGTTAGATAGAAAGGAGCCTACATCCTGTATCAACGACTAGTAGTTGCTGACAATGTGAACTAGAATCATGGTTTATTTGGTGAAATTTAATTTTAAAGAAATAAAAAACCGTTTGAAATACACTGACTTAATTTTATTACATTTAGAACAAACTGTGGTTCAAACTTTGAACTTTGCAAGCTGCACTTGCACCAAACTGAATTGTTTATACACGCACTTACATATTAAAACTTTCTCGCTGCCTCTTTCACGCTACCTAACATGTTTTATGCGCCATTTGAGATCATTACACATCATTCACTTTCAATTACCACGCAATTGATTATGTAATTAAATAAACACAAAACAGCAACAAAACTTTAACATAAACTTGCAGCTATAAGCGCCGAAAGTATCAAAATTATTATACGCAATTTGAATACAATTTGTTAGCAATGGAAATGTTGCATAAAATGTTGCCGCCGCGTTTGTGTGCGTTGCTTGCACCTGATGGCACTAAAAATTGCTACAAAATAGCAGCAGCAGCAATAAAATTGCGCACAAAAAGGGTGTTGAAAACGGCGCAGCAGCAATTAAATGCAAAAATTGCCAAAGTCAAAAGGGGATTAGTGAATGGGAGATTCTCGGCTATTGGTATATATTTATATACCCTGAACAGTGTATATTAAATTTGTCACGAAGTTTGTAGCACACAGAAGAAAACGTCAGAGACCCTGTAATATATACAGGTATGTATGTATATATATAAATGATTAGCATGCCGTGCTGTGCCGATTTAGCCATTTCCGTCTGGCTGTATATATGCAAATTAGCCCCTCAGTTTTGAGATATCGATTTGCAATTTTGCACACGTTCTTTTCTCCTGCAGAAGCTGCACATTTGCCGGAATCACTTATATCAGACAACTATAGCATATAGCTGCCATATAAACTGAGCGATCAAAATCTACTTCTTGTATGGAAAACTTTTTTATTTGAATAGATATGATCACGAAATTCAGCATTGATTATGCTCTAAAGCAACGGTGCAAACTCCATGGAAATGGTTTGGATCGGTTAACATAAGCTATAGCTGCCCTACAAACTTAGTATTCGAAATCAAGTGCTTGTTAGGATTCATTTGTATTTGTGAAGGGTATTTTAGTATGTTTGTGCGTATTTATGTAAATTTACTTTACACTTACCGATATCGAGCGCATAACAGAAAGCACTGCCGCCGCCGCCACCACGTTCGCCGCGCCGTCCATGCCAACTGCTGCAGCTCAATAAAATCAAAGTCAATGTCAGCCAACATAAAGTTTTATTTTTATTAACACCATGACGCTTAATGCGGCAATAACTTTTCAAATAATTTGTTGCGCAATACGAACAACGGCTAAACAGCAAGGCGAATGCGCTGCGGCAGCTGGCTTTCGGCAACTCCTGCCGCTGCTGCTGTTGCAATTTAAATGAATTCAATTGTCGAATTTTTATTGTAGCCATTTTATGATATTTGCCGTTTTCCTTTGACTTTCCGCATACACTGTGCGCTGAACTTTAGTTTTTGTTTTTGCTTCACCTCTTCTATTTGGCGTTTTTATTCGTGCACACTTTGTAGTTAGTTGTCTGGCAAAATGTTGCCACCCAGTTGTTATTGTGTATTGAATGTGGCATAAACGAATTTGAAATGTTGATTGTTTAGTTGTTGTTATTGTTATCTTTCGTGTTGTTGTGTTTGGTTATTATTGTTGTTGTTTTTGTTAGTTTTGTTGTTGTTATTGTTTTTTTTTTATTTTTTTTTTAATTTTGCTGTTGTCCTCGCTGTCCGAGGCCAATGTCAATGTTGCGTATATTTCTGTTATTGCTGCCACAGTTGTTGCTGTTACAGTTGTTGTTGTTCCGGCCCGACACGTAGTTTTCGGTTGAACGGTTGCAGTAACCGTTAAAATAACGGCACGCTAGCGGCATAACGTTTTAACTGGCAACTAGTAAAGTATGCAATAGCAATTCGTTTGTCGATTTTCAGTGTGAACTTTGCACAAATGTCGAATTAATTTAATTAGATTGTGTATTGGTAAATTAAGGTGGGCGGGTGTTATGCAAAACGCTTAACACAAGTAGCTTATTTTAATCTAAAGCGTCACGAATTGCCGTTATGCCATTACTGCGCTATTACACGTGATGCACTGAAAAGAGAGAGTGAGAAAGAGAGAAAGAGGGATAAAGTTTATTTTCGAATATTTTAATGAACTGAATCTTTTATACATATACCTAAGTGCCTAAGTGATCGATAATAATATTTTAGGTTACAATAAGTTAGGTTAAATGAGCGATTCTAACAAGTATCTTACGTGGACAGTTTACGCAGTTCCGTTGTTTTACCTAGAACCTAGGTATCGATACAAATGTTAACTAAAAAATCTTTACTTTGTTACAGGTTTTAAAGTCACTTTTAGAGAATAATAATCAGTTACGAGGAGATGTAAAGGTTGCTGTTCAAAAAACTTATTCCAAAGACTATTTTCCTGAGTCTTTTTTTTGGATGTTTGATATATGTAAGTAAGAACACTATTGAAAAAGAATTATACCTTTCTCAATAGTAGTATTACTTACAACCTGTGAGATCTATTTAAATATCAATCAAAGTGAATCCTGCTTGTGCAGCAGAAAATACCGGTCCATTGTGATATCTAAATACTTCTAAGTTTTGAACAAAACGATTTTCAAAAATAGACAAAGACCAAAACATAAATTTGTGAAGGCGGCTAATATCAATTCCGTCTATTTCACTCGGTTCGCCAAATATATGACCGTCGAGAAGTTTCAACCTCAGTCTGGCAAAAGCTGGATATTAGAGTTGAAAGTGCAAGGATATTTCCATCCATCTTCCCCCATACAACTTTGTCAGATAGTGTCCGACAACATTTTCAGCCTTCGCCCATTGAACAATGGCCAGTAAGAACACTAAGAATTACGGATATATGAACCTTTCTAAGAGCAAGCAGTTCAATGGATCTTCTGCGTTCTACTCTAGTCCAGCAGGGTCTTGCAGTCACACGGGATCTCGCTCTTAACCAACGACTGCTAAGCTCACGCAAACTCCAGAGGTCTAGAAGAATAACGCAATATTACAATGGAAACCCAGCCCGTTTTCAATCCGATGTTATCTAGAGCTGTGTGCTCACTTTTTCGAGCTTATGTATTTTGCAGTTTCCAGCGATTCCACTATGACCAGGCTGCCAAACGAGTCTATTAATTAAGAAGCTTAATGCTATCAGTAGTGAGAATAGACATGCCTTGACTAACTTTGAGCGTACAGTGAGCGAACTCAAAGCTCTGTCGCTCTGTTGTCGGTGTGAGTGCTCACCTCCCTGAAAGTGTTTGCACTTCGGGTCAACATATCTGCTGCTACATTAATGACGGCCATCTCTGATCTTAAAGCCTAAGCCGGGAAAAAGCATACTGCTTCACTTTTTCACCGATTTCGCGCCAACCACGAGGGATATCGTCTGCGTGTGAGTAGCCGAAAAGCTATCAGAAATAGACTCTTCGACGCAGTGTTTTAAGTTTTCAGGGATTCAGAGGAAGAAGAAGAGAATTGCAGAATGTTCCAGTTTGAACACTTACATGTACCCAGCCTCCCTGATGCATACAGCGACTTCCGCATTAATACACCTGCCTCTATAAAACATGGCTTACCTACGGTTTTGTAGAGCCAAAATATTACATATGGTGAGAAGTCCTACTTCTTTTCAAGTGCTCCTCTGTAGAAGTATAAGGCAACCGACGCTTTACTTACTCTCTCTAGGGTCTAGGTACTGGTCTGGTTTAAAGTTTTTTACCTCATAGTAAATAAAATAATTTTTAGTTTTAAAAAGGTTTAAAAGCTTAAAAGAGAGTTTAACATGTATTTACTGTTTAGAAATTTTCACTGGAGTAAATTTTTGGATTTAAATTCCCATAACGCACATGCTACTTGAATTTAAATAAATTTTTCTGCAAAAGTAAACTACCAAATCTCATAAAAACTTGCTAATATGTATGAATATATGGCAGTTATGTTAACATGCAATCATATTTTCTTGAAAAGAAATCCAAAGTGCCCCCTTCTACCAGCATTTGTACATAGTGTTGATTAAATTCCACAACCGGCCGGACACATGGCCTTTGCTAAGACTTTTCATATTGTGCCATTACGGCGATGAGTGTGGCGTCCGAAGTGTGTAATGCACACCGCCCAACAAGCGACAGACGGCTAATAGCAGCCATTCATTGCGCCATTCATAGAGTCATTCATATGCTTTCCTAATTTATAAAAATGCGCCTACACCAAGCAGCTCGTTTGCGGCTGGCATTAGAGCGTTGTCTTTGCAGTGCTGCCAACGGTTAAATTACAAACGGAAATAGCAAAAAAATATTTTCCAAAAATAAAAAGAATCCATACGCAGAGCGAGTAGCATTGAAAAATAGACGCTTTGTAAACAAAAAAATTATAAAAAAAAACCTTGGAAAAAATGGTCGAAAAGAAATTTCGGAATGGAAAGAAAACAGTTGGCTGCTCTTGCCATTGTCGAGTGCATAGAAAATATGAGACTTCAAAAGGCGGCTGCTTTCTACAACTTTTTGTGTTGCAATTACACCAATGCCATTGCCACTATCAATAACATGACATGGAATATGACAGTACTAGTGGCGATGCACTTTAGCATACTTTCTGACAGTGTGCTTGATTGGGTCAAATATGGTATAAAAGTCATCATCTTAATTGTATTTTTATGAGTTTAAATGCCATTCATTTTGGAATGGACAACCGCTGGTCACAAAACAATATTTTTGAAGCATAATATTTCTTAATAATTATTAATATAATACTTCTTCTAGAATTTGAGGTTAGAAAATTTGAGATTAGATATGTTAAGATTGTAGAGACATTTGGGTCTACCATGTTGAGTTGTTCAGAATTCCATATAAGTATTTCGGGAGTCCTTAAAGTTTTTTGTTAGTGAAAAATTAGATAGTTAATCCTTTTCCGGTTTTAGGATTAAACAGGATGCTACACATATAAATAATAAGAGCCCTGTGAACTCAGTTTCTTAAGTATTAAATAATAATGGTAAGTTTTAGACAACATAAATGGCAGATGAGTACACCCTAATATTTATTGTATATTAAAATACATAAGAAGTTACTAATCCAGTGTCGAATTGGAGACCTCTACTGTTTGTATAAACCTACTACGATTGTCACATCGTCTTACAATATATACTTTATTTTTAGAATTTCCTGTATGTGACTTCTTTGGATTACCTACTTGATAATTATAACCTAACATTTGGATTATCGCATTAGTGGAATAGCTGAACGGTTGCAGGGGATCGACAGAGTACATATTTGTTACATGGAAGATCATGTATAAGAACTTTAGTGAATCAGAGAGAGAGAGAGAGTTTCCAAGTTTCGGGTTCATATGCTTTAAAAAATATTACTTAAAGCGATTCGAGTGCCGATCAGAAATCTTATATAATATATAAGAAGGGAGATTCAGAGAGAGAAAGAAAGAAAGAGATAGATATGAGAGCTTTTAAAGTTTCTGGTACATATGCTTTAAAAATTACTCTGACATATTGTTCTAGTGCCAATCCAAAATCTTGTAGAGAAACTTTGAAAATTCAGAAAGAGAGAGACATATAAGTGAGCTTTTCAAGTCTCAATTAGAAATCCTATATAGGAAATTAGGCGATTCAGAAAGAGAGACACCGATATGAGAGCTTTTCAAGTTTCGGGTACATACGCTTTCAAAATTATACCTAATTGTATTTGAATCTACATTTTACTTTCTTTATATCCTTTCTACTTTCTTTAAAAAAAATTCTCTAAAAGTATATTTCGAAGGTTTTTTATGGTCAGTGAGATTATATTGTATTCCGAAGGGTTTCGGTTTTGATCATATGAGCTTAAGGCAAAAATTGAGTTGGTTTTGGTGTGAGAGGTCTGACAAATAGCTTGCTTCTTCTGCTTAAGTGTGATTCTCTGCGGTATGACTGCTAAAATTCAAGCTAATAATATAAATACCGAATCTCAAGAGAGAGTTAACCTCAAAATAAATGACACACCGTACTGCCAAGTTCATAAAACTGTAAAAAAAATTCAATATGAATATTTGCAGTGCCAAAAAATGAACATCTGTACTTTACCGCTAAAATTGGCTAAATGAATGGAGGAGTAGAAATATTTTGCTGTTTGTGCCTACAAATAGACAATCAACAAAGCCGTTGCCACAAGCGCGAAATTGATGTGTATGTACGTGTATATGTTTGGGTAGGCAAGTAGACAGTCAAGCCGCCTTCTGAGCAAATAATTGTGTGCATATTCATTTGCAACAGCATATGCTTGCGGACATGCACAATTTATAAAAGGCGACAATAGACAGAGGCAGATCCTGGTCAATGTATGAATGTACAGACATATGTTTGCGTGTTTATTTGTGTAGTTGAATGCTATGGACTGTGGATTGTGCGGCGCGCAAATTAATATTATGCCATTTGGCTGAATAGCGGACCCAAGGCGGCTATTACGCCGGCAAAAGCACAATAACAACCTAACGTTGTCACAAAAACAAATGCCGAAATCGAGCAAAAAAGTGGCAGACAAGCCGCCTACATTGCCACCTTTGTGCCGAATTGGCACTTTCTTTGCCGAAAAAAGGTAGTAATAATAGCACTTCGGGACTTTGTTTCAGTTTTGGTAGCGCAGATTCATATTTTTTAAGCTTTTTTATTTTATTTATATATATATATATATTTTAATGAAACTGCAATCTTATTGTAAGGAACTAGTTACAAATGGATTATATGAAATATTGAAGTCTAACTTTTTTCCGTCTAACCAATCTCGAATACCATTACAGTAAAACTGTTAATTTTGTGATGCTCTCCAAGTATTAAGTAATTTTTCGATGTCGTCTTGTAAGTGGAACTGCTTCTGAGCCAGACCATGTGCCATCGAACGGAACAAATAATATTCGGACGGTGTATATCTAGGAAATATAGCGGAGTAGAACTTCACATTTAAGCGTTTCTAGTTAGATTTTAACGGGTTTGGCATTGTGAGACCGAGCATTGTCATGTAGCAGAAACACTTTTTCGGAGCTCTTCTAGTATTGAGGTCGCTTTTCTCTTTCAAATGT